CGATGATGATGACGATGATGATGAAAATGACAAAGTCGAGCAAGAAAAAAGGCGGTGCTTTTTTGGATGATGCGGGTTTTTGGAGGCAAAACCGTTGGTTTTTGAGAGGTCTCTGAGCAAACCAGAAAATCAAACACAAAACAGGCAAACCCTCACTCACCCCCCGACTCCAGGTCAGATCAGCGACATTGACTGGAGGACACTGAATGTGTGTTTCAAAAACGGCCCTGAACTGAAACACTCAGATTCCACCCAATCCCGAAAAAGAAGGAAAACTTTTGTTTTTGAAAGCTGACACCTCTGCATGCGTTGGTTTGCTGTTGTAGATCAACCGGGCTGGATCAACGAGGGATGACGCGATTCATCGCTTTGGGACTGGCGCTGCTTCTGGCAGTCACGCTCGACATGGCGCAAACCACAGCTGCCATCGACACCTCGGGATTTGCGCTCAAGCTCGAGTACGACACAAGTCGCATGACCATCTCCAGTTCCCGAGTGACAAACTGGAAGTTTCAGAATACGGACGACCAAAGTGCTGTGAGCTATGGTGGAGCTAGTAATTCGATCGCGCCGCTTGATACAGGAGCGGCAGTGTCGTTTCTCAAAGTCGGCACCACTCCCGGCTACTGGGCACGCATGTCAATAGCGAGCACCGCCGTCTTTGGTCTCAACTACAACACTGGGTTCCACTTGCATGCCAAAGTCACGTTCGATGTGACAAAAATTCCCAAAGATTCCGCCAGCATGGCAACCATCATCGGCCGCTCGTTCTTCTCGACAGCGACCGGCAACTCAAACCAATTGCAGAGCAATTTTCTGTTTGGCCTACAAGCAAAAAGCGATCAAACAGCCTTTCGCGTTTGCATTCATTTTGGAACATCGACCATCGCCTCCACCTCCGCGACCCCCTTCTACTGCTCAGCCTACTATTCGGCCACATCCTCGAGCACCACACCAGTCGCTGTGTCCGCAAGAGCCAGCGTCAATGGCGGCATTCAATTTTATGTCAACGGTCAGTCCAGCACTGGCACGGCACCGGCGAGTGGGACGTTCGCGCCTGTTACGAATTCAAACATACTGGTTTTGATGGGAATGGTGAATGCGGGCTCGTTTGCTCCGTCATCCACGGTTTGCCAAGCCAATTCGTCTCCAGCAGGACCTGGCTGCGCTGTAGCTTCGTCTGATGCGACGTTCCCGACAACCTTCAGCAGTGTTGGAGCGTATCAATTATATACACTGTACGGGAATTCGGGTGATGTGTCTGCTTCAGACTTTTATGACACGCACTGCTTGCTTGGACTTTGCGCGAGTCCTCCGGCTAGCGTCGTTGCGTCGCGTTCAATCGCCTCGTCAGCCTCTGTAGCATCTGCTTCATCTGCTTCATCTGCGTCCGCTTCAATTGCATCGCGTGCTTCTGCCTCATCCGGTTCCGTTGCCTCAGTTGCATCTGCTTCGACTGCGTCTGTCGCTGCTGCTTCAACTGCGTCAGCTGCATTCGCTTCAACTGCGTCTCGTGCTTCCGTCTCATCTGCTTCCGTTGCTTCAGCTGCATTCGCTACGACTGCTTCCGTTGCTTCAGCTGCATTCGCTACGACTGCGTCTGTTCGTTCCGCCTCGTCTGCATCAGCCGCTTCTGCTGCGTTCGCTGCGTCGA